ATTGTGAAAATGAAATCCGGAATGTTACATTTAAGCTTTCCCACAGAATTATCTGGACACACATAGGGTCTGACTGGTTGACGAATATAAGGCTTGTGGCCAAGAGGCCCCAATTCTGCTCCTACTCTTTAAAACTGAAATAGTATGAACACAGATTAATGCTCATGTGCTAATTCTCACACAATATGATCTCAGATGTTTCTATTTGCAAGTAATTTTGTTCAGGACGCTTTACTTCCAAAAATATGTAGTACAAGCTGGCAGCCATACGAACATTCTTAGTAGTTGTGGAAAGCAGATTTTTAAAGAAAGTTTACAAATTATGAGCTACAAAGGAGGAATATACACATCTCCACTATGATGTGTGTTACATTTCCAAATGCATGTGCAACCTGTGCTCTTCCTGTGGGGAGAAAGGTGCAAGTTCTTCCTCCATAGATTGTACATCCGCTTTTGCAGATTATCATAAATTTTGCTTATTTAAAACACTGCTACCCTTATCTGAACACACTGCCAGCTTTCAAGAACTGTCATAAAACATGCAACAAAAGTATAAAAAAGAAAATAACCAAACAATAAAAAGAAAAGTAGCACAAATATTAAAAATAACACTTTTTTGTCTTATAAACGGGGGTGGAGGGTAAGCTCTGTTTCAAAGCTTATCTGATGAGCTTCCTGAATCACTTCCCTCCATGGAAATGAACTGGAGAAGCAATTAACCTTATGCGGACATTCTGTACATAGCTAAGGACATTCTGTACATGGCTAAGGTGTCCTAATGTACATCTCCAACTAAGGAGAGAGTCTTCACACATATGTAATCGCTTTTATTTCCAAAATTATATTTTTAACCATCTATGAGCCAATATTTCTGCAACAACAGATTTATTTTTTGTCTTGTTTCATTTTTGGAACTGGAGACAAGCTACTGTGCTGGTCACATTTCTAAATACTTTCAGCTAAACAGGCCCATTTAACTATGCAAATACACTGGCAAATGTTCTGTTCAGCTCTAAAAATTTATTCATCTTGCAACGATCAATAATGGTCTTGGCAATGAGTTTCCATTCCTTCCAACATCGAACCAGTGTGCATCTTAATTACTTTTGTGCACATAAACCACCAATTGTCTATGGTCCAGATTTTGCCCAAGTATTTTTGTTACATATTTTGCAGTTTGAGGTCCATTAAATTAGCCACAGTTATGAACAAACCATTTTTCTTTCTTTCCAGCTGTACTGGGGTGGGGCTAATTAAAATAGGGTAGAATATGCTATTGAAGGGCAACAGAAGCAACTTTGTCCTTCTACCAAAGACCAAGGCATTCATTATTCAAGTTTATTGTGAAACACTATTCAACAAGGTAATTAATTTTTAAGAACACAGAAAATAGGAAATGTTGCAAAACAATTAAAACATAGCAAGACCCGCCAGAAAAGTTTAGAAATCTGTAGTTTTTAAAGAAAACTATACTGTATTTCTAGTTCTAGCAGTTAACTTCCCAGAGGCCTTCAACACAACTATTTTTTGAAATTAATTTCACAAGTGCAGTGCAGTTAATAATGGAATGATCTTCCCTCAAACTGGTGGCTTCCATGTGTTTTGGACCACAACTCCCATCAGCCCCAGTCACCATGGCAAATGGGACTGGGTGATGGAAGTTTTAGTCCAACAGATATGGAACGCACCAGGCTGAAAAAGGCTGCTATGTATGGTAAAGGTAAAAGACCCCTGACAGTTAAGTCCAGTCACGAACGGCTCTGGAGTTGCGGCACTCATCTCGCTTTACTGGCCAAGGGAGCTGACGTTTGTCCGCAGACAGTTTTTCTGGGTCATGTGGCCAGCATGCCTAAGCCGCTTCTGGTGAAACCAGAGCAGCGCACGGAAACACCGTTTATCTTCCCGCCAGAGCGGTCCATGTTTATCTACTTGCACTTTGACGTGCTTTCAAACTGCTAGGTTGGCAGGAGCTAGGACCTTACAATGGGAGCTCACCCCGTAGCAGGGATTTGAACCGCAGACCTTCTGATCGGCAAGCCCTAGGCTCAGTGGTTTAGACCACAGCGCCACCCACTTACCTGCTATGTAGGTACTCTTCCTTATTCTGCAAAGCTGTTCCAATGGTAAAGAAAACAGCTCCCTATACACATTCAACATGGCTTAATCACCAAAGGGTGATAAGCCCTTACTAAGATTAAATACCAGTTTAAACATTACCTCAATGGCTGTTGCCAGAAATCAGTTCCATGGAATAAGTCCAAATGGCAGTACTAACAATTGTATTTGCTTCCCACATTGAATTGGTTTCCCCTTTTGGCCTGATTATGCAATAAGAATCTGCACCAATAGTACATTACTGCTGCCACACAGCCCTGAAAGCAGTAAATTAATCTTGGCAGCAGCTACACTACCGAACTGAATCAGCCTAAAGTAAGAAAATGACTTCACAATCCATGAGTGCCCAGTTACTGCCAGTGATAATCTGACTGCAGCTTCAAGATCTCCAAGTATATAACCAATGGGGGGATAACACCCTGAGCTCCTTTGGGAGAAAGGGAGAGAAATTTGATAAAGTATAAACAAACAAACACCAAAGATAATACTAGTATTTTACCTTACATCCAGAGTGGGTAGAAAGTAGATCTGGATCTACTGGTAGATACTGGGTGATTTGCTGCAAATTTGCAAGGGTCCAATTGTTTTAACACTAGACATAATAAAATGTCCCCTCTCCTCCCCTTTATTTTGGCTGGGGATGGGAACCAGGTAGAAAGGGCTGTGAGCTCACCTTTGGTACTGAAGATAAATTATTGGGGCTGGATGTGCTAATTTAAAGTGTGCCTGTCCTTCCTCTATTTCTGGATCTCTGGGTTCTATGAAAAGAAAGTAGATCCACTAGCTTGAAGTCTGCTCATCCCTGAGACACAGTGTTCCTATGCATGCATGCAAACAAACACACCTAGGTATTTACATGATATACAGTCATGATACTAGATTAACACTCACACCTAGAAGTTTCAGCTCACAAACATTAAACATGCTTGATATCCACCCCAAATGTTCTTTCTTGTGGTTCAAGCAGCAGATGACCATCACTAACAGCAAACATATTTATAGAAGTAATATAGAAATAACCTATATGATAATCAGCCTACCACCATCTACACAACTGCCACTCCTGAGGTCAGATAACCGCCCACTGAAATGAAGGAAAAACAGGGATTATTGTGCATCTTTAGGTAGACTCCTTGCCAGTTTGTCTCAACCAACTTGGCACTGCAATTCTATTTTTGGGAATCTTTGCAAATACAGGCTACTGGTGTTATTAATTCTGATCACGAGCGTTGACATGAGTAGCACAACAACCGTTATTAGCAGGGGCGTGGGAGCACAGCAGTCATTAACATAGGATAGTGTTTCCGTACGGAAAACTTCTCACATATGAATAGTAGCATGAAATAGCACTACTGCAAAGAATGCATCATCAAGAAACAGCAAGAATACTATTGATGGTATTCCCAGATGAGATATTAATTCCAAGACCCTCAGGAGCTGCTACTAAATTTGAGAGAAGAAAGCAAAACTATTCCAACACCCTGATGTCAAGAACCATTCCATGTGCAAAGGAATTCTGCCGTGTGTATCACAGCACACATAGGTCTCTGGCTTGAGATAACCATTTATTCCTACCTGATTACTTTCAAGAACATGCATAAGAAATTTCAACACAACCAAAATGGGGGGGGGGGACGACTAAGGGCATTCTATTATCATACTAGAAGAAACCAACTGTAAACTGATGTCCAGAAATGATGAACTGTATTGCAGTTGTGTTGTATTATTGTTTGTAAAATGCTTACTGAAATTTTATGTAGAACTAGGTAAACAAACTCTGGATCTCAGACATTATCTTTTCTTATGACTGTGTCCACACAATACATTTGATAGGGAGGATACTTGATGCATTTGGTATTTGTGTTTTATTTCCAATGCCTCTATTTTTTGTCATGTAGGATGTAGTTTCTTTAGGACTGTGCAAAGATTCTTATTTAATGTTACAGTTTGTAACAGCTTGATCTGGGAATGGACCTACTGTTAGTGGCATTTCAAGAAAATTTTAACTACCAAGCTGTGCCTCCCTCTCTCACTCAAAGCAAACATTTTTAATGGTGAAAAGCAAATAGCAACAAACTCAGCCAAACTGAACGAAAACCACAACAGGGGCAAACAGAAAGAAAAAAGCAAAGTCATTTGCCACCCATTTCCAGATGTTAACACTTTTATTGCCTTTGGGCAAATAAAAGCAATCTGAAAAGGTAAAACATATTTTTCAACCTCTCTGTTCTTTGAAGTGTCTTCATTAAAATTTAAACTTTTGACTTTTTGGCTGGATTATATTTTTAAAGGACGATCTTTAAATTGATGCCAGTATCTTTATTTAGAAGTAGTTCATTCTCAGAACCTAATGTTCTTTCAAATTATCATATTGTATTCCATGAAATGGCTGTTGCAGGCATGAAACTTTTCCTAATGCTGAACACTGTAGTTTCAGCCTCTGTTATTTGCCTACTTGAAAGGAAGTCCTATTGAGTTCAACTGGGCTTAATCCTAGGATATAGGATTGCAGCCGATAACTAAATTACATATTTGCTGCACTAGAAACAAAAGCAGAAACACCACCCTGGTTTATTCTATGCATATAAGGAGAAATCAGTGTTTTCCAAAATATGGCATAATAATTAAACAAAAAATAGGCAAATACACATATGTTTTTCATTAAAAAATTCAGAACAGGATAATATCATGTGCTTTAAAAATGATTGGTTAAAATCATTATCATTTTTTTTAAAGGCAGTAACAGTTACACCACTCCTTTGATTGCTAATTAAATGGAGAGTTAGGTGTTACAAATCAATAACCACACAAACAAATGAAATGCAATTTCAGAAATAACTAACGATTTTGCTCATGTGTTTTGCAGTCCTAAACACATCTTTTTTCTAGAAATCAACTTTTTACTGCAATTGAATAATGGGACACACAATACTTTTAAGAATTTAAAACCACCCATATCATTTGTGTCCAAAAAGATACAGAAGTCATTGAGAAAAGAACTAACCAACTTTGTGAAATAAGAATAATAATCTTAAAATTCAAACAATATTGGAATTTTCAGCTAAAGGAACATTTTAATTAAAATGAAGCAAATATCTGCACTAGACATATCAAATCCCCCCCCCAAAAAACCCCTCTACTGGTATAAAACAAAACAAATTTATGAAGTCTCCATTATTTAATTATTGTCAAACTAATTGTGAAAACACTTGCAAAATTCACCCATTTCTCCTTGAGTTCCATCAGTGACAAAATCACCTCTGACTGTCAGTCCACTGACACTCTCCCCTTCTCACCCCAATGGCTGCATATTGTAAAGCCAGGACTTTTAACTCCTAGAAATACAGATGGTGTTCCTTCCAGCCAAATACAAGAAAATGACACTCATTTTGAATGCCATGAGAAGTGAGGAAAACATGATGTGAGTAAGACACTGTGTCGGCAATTATACCCAAACCAAAACACTAAGCAAAGAGAGGCAGAAAACAAAGCCACCAAAAAAAAAAAAAATCAGAATAGAAATGCTAATCAGATGAAATGTAAAGCATTAATTGTCATTTTGTTAATCTACAAATCATTTCATAACCCGCTATGAGGCACCCCATTGCTATCCTGACTCCAAGTATCACGGTTTTGACATAGTACATTCAGGGAAAAAATGTTGTTAACAAAATACCTTGCTGTGTAGCAGAGATTTGTATTCTGTGCAGCTGACAGGTTAAAATGAAAAATTTCCATCCACAGGTATATTTCAAAGGCTCCACTGCTTTGATGTACTCTGTGCAGCAGGTTTTTCCATTCCTCAACCAATAGCTCCTGGTCACTTACATTCCATTTGCCAAATAGTAAAGTGTTTATTAGTCATAACCACACAGCTCTTCCAAAGGTAGAGAAGAAACTCCCAAACAAACAAAAAGATCACTCCTCTATACACGAATGCTTTCCCACAGTGACTCGCAAGTAGGGCATCATCATTTAAAACGAACCAGGCCAGCGAAACAACCACAGCGCAGACTCACAACTCACACAGACAGATTTATGATCCCTCCAAAGAGGAGGCTGCTAATTAAAATTTTAAAAAACCAGCTCAGTTTTTTTAAGCACACAAAACCCAAAAGCAACTGAGGTAAACATCTCAGGTAGTCTAGCTTGTTTGTTCTCAATGAACCACATACACAACAACAGTAGATAACAGCCTGTATGTTTTCAAAAAGTGTGACACAGTCTTCCTCTTATACTGCAATTGTAAAATAAAAATAAAACCTGTACCAGGAAGGAAGATTCACTGAGTTCAAAAGAACACTTTGGATTTAAGCAAAAGATGTGTAATAAAAAGTGAAGCAGGAGATAAAGGACTGGAAAATGTCAGAAGATTACCTCTTGCTACCTTTAACATAGTATTGCATTTATTCGTCTAAACCTGCATTTTACAGAGGTTTTATCCCCCCCGCCTTCTGTTACAGAATTTCAATTGGGATTCCGCTCATCAATTCTGCTATTTAATTATACATTTCCTTATACTCCCTTAGATGTTAGTAACAGCACAGCATTATCTTTTACTAGGGATACTTGCATGGCACTGAGTCCCACTGAGCATACTGTGACTTACTTCAGAGTAAACATGCATATATCATCAGGTTGCACAGATTATAAGCCATGAGTCTAGGCAAGCATCACAAAATGTCCTTTTATTTTTCAGAGATGTAGACATTAAATGTGAGCTCTCAAACCCAATCATATATATTTCAGTAGTCAATATTATACATAGCATAATGGTGCATATAAAATGTGAGGGCTGTTTTGAAACTAATTCTTATTATGTACGATGATTCTGGATTCCTAATCTCTCTAATAAAATTGGGTATCTATAGGTGATATACCAGTTACTGACAGCTCATGGAAAAGCTAAGAGCTGACAACTTAAATGTTTTCGAAACAAAGACTTTGGCCATCGCAAACTTCAAATAGATGTGATTATATGCTTACTAGAAGCCAGCCTGTAGTATGAAGTAGCAAAACTTTTAAACAAACATTTTTGAAGGATTGCAACTTTTTATCAAATTTGTTTATACTTCCAGTTCTGCATTCAACTATCCATTTGTCATGGCACATCATACAAATCTGTCTGAAAAAAGGAAACATGAGCAAGTCTATTTCTTCCTCCTGTGCAGCCAAGAGATCAGAAGCAACCCACTGCCTCTTTTAAACTAACCAGAGTTTACTATATGCAAGCTGTGGAAACCCTGCTTTAAAGTATAATTTGTTAATAAGTCAGGATGAAGAGAAAAAAATATGTTTAACTGGGGTTTCAGCAAACCAGTTTAAATGAATAGTACCCCAACCCCACCCCACATTTGGGCTAGCTGAAGTGCTTCTAATCTTCCCTTTGCATCCACATTGAAGGAGAGGGAAAAGGGACACACAAGTCCAAGCAGACTTGTTTATGCATGGTTTTGGCATGACATCAAACACAGGCCAGTGATTTTAATTTGCCACACTGCGCTGCTGCATATCCTGTCCCTTGACACTGCAATATCAGTGCTACTTCGCAGGATTCTGCCACATGAAAGTCAGAGAGGAGGCAGATTATCAAAGCACATGTGTTTCTGCATGTTCCACAATAAAATATAGATAGTTATTCTGTTCTCCCATATTGGATATTCCTAAAGAATGCTCACCCTAAAAAAAAGGGGGGGGGTCTCCAGGCAACTATGTTAATGCATGTCTCACATTGGGCAAATGTGTGTGTGTGTGTTCAATTTTCCAGACCTTTTCAAATTCTAACACCATTTAACTATTGTTATATTCATCTCTGGTCAGTCTGTTTTTTCACAGTAGTTGGGTTAAGATGCGGTTTTAACCCTGCAATGTTGTCTGGGGCTCTCTCCTGTGATTATTTACATTACTGTGCCTGGAATATTGCTACTTAACTAAGACCATGTCATTTTTTAAATTTTATTATTTAATTGGATTTTTGTGCCACTACACTGTATAGTGATTGATGGCATTGTATGTTTCTTTAAACTGTTCTAATTATCTGTCACCCAGATAATTTATGTAGAATATGACTAGTAAAGAATTTATTTTATATATACCGTATTGGCCTGAATATAAGCCTCACTTTTTTCCCAAATTCTGACCGAGCGGCTTATATTCACGACCTTATGGTATGCAGCCAGGAGCGCCCGCCCCATGCATAGTCCCCCATCCTCTCCCCCAAGGCCGGGAAGGGAAAGAGCAAGGAATGCGAAAGGCCGCTGGCAACACAGTGCAGCTCCCTCCCCCCCAGTATGCAGCCAGCAGCAGTGAGGAATGGAGCGGCTTATATTTAGGTATTTTTTCTTTTCCCCCCCCCTCCAATTTTAAAGGTGCGGCTTATATTCAGGTGCTGTTTATATTCGGGCCAATACAGTATATAATAAATATTGTTCACATTGGCTAGATGTTAATACATCTGAGCCTGTTTCAGTTGATCCTTCACACTTACAACCTGGTGACCATAGTATATTTTAGTGTGCCATCATTTCTGGATCTGGACCATAATATTTGCATTCTGAGAGAGCACAGATGCTTTGGCTATGTGGTCATTATTAATTAATCAGAAATCATTCCAACAATGCTGATTTTCAATTATCTACAATTTATTTAAAAAGGTGCGTCTCAACTTATCCATGCCATCCACAGCTGGAAAAAATAAATTAAAAACACACCATCCTAGAATCAGCAGAATAAAATACACCACAGGGAAGGAATTAAACTTACTCTACACTTGTTTAGCCCTTAGCCCTGGCAATTAAAACACAGCAAAAACAAGCAAGTCTTTGCAGCATTTCTAAAAAACACTCAGGCTCCAGTTTACATGAAATCCTGGGAATGTGGAAAAGCCACTGAGAAATGTTCAGGCCCTAATGCTGGAATGTGGAATCTCTTCCCTCCAGATGCTGCTGGACCACTGAAAGCTCATTATTTTGCTTATAGTTCATATTTTGCATATTAATGGTTTAAGGCGGATACTCTCAGCTGATCTTTAAAGACTGTGGTGAGACTTCGAGAAGGTGGCAATTTAAGTTGATTTGCCAAGCAACTTTACTTAAGAAATCCGACTGTAAATTAAGCCAAATGCCTAAGAAATGTACAAAAATAATGGGCTGGGTCCAGACTGTTTATGTGAATGGAAGGGCTCCTTTCATTGTCTCCAATGGATGAAGCAGGGGGAGATTAAGGTATCTTCCCTGATTTCCCCTCGCCTTGGCAGCCCACACAGACACACTACCTTTCACACTGTTCTTCCAGTTCAGCTTTCCAAGAGGGAATCAGAGACAGGCATGCATAACTTGCCCTGTGCCCTCTCAACAGTGCAACAGAGCTCTAGATCCAACCTAGTATGAATACAAATACATAATAGATGAAGTTACCTGTTACAACACAATATTTAGGATCTAACAAAGCTTTAGTGGCAATCAGTTCTACTCATGCAAATGGAAGTGTTTCTGGGGCGTTTTCCCATTCGCCCCTTCAGCTGCAAGACTCCAAACCACATCTCATTCCATTCTGGCATATTTCCCAACCAAATAGGAGCAGCTTTCAAGTGGTGCTGGAGGTAGCAGCAGTAAAGCCCTTCTTCATTCCATGAATGGAATTCCATTCATATTAATACAAGCAATTATTTCTCTCTCTCTCTCTCTCTCTCTCTCACACACACACACACACACACACACACACACACCACACCTCTACAATATTTACAGCAGTGGGTTTTGTTTCTTTGTTTTCCATTTAGTAAAAGAAGTTGCAACAACAAAACAAAACTTTGCTCCTCTTATTTCTTCTTTTTCAAAATGACATGAAATGATACAACTTTCACGTCCTGATATTTATTCTAGTCATTTATTCTATTACTACAGCCAAGGAGAGCAAAGGTGGGTCGAACTTCAGAAGATCCGCAGCTCCAGTCCCAAGTCTGTCTAGGAATATTTCTATATCCCAAATAAGTATTTCTGCCATAATCCTATTGGAGTGTAATTGCTGTGGCTAATATCCTTACCCTCTTATGAAAATGTTCCACATAAATGTGGTACCAAGTTGTTATGATAACACATGATCATGCTGTGAAATGGTAATTCCTATACAATAGCCCTTGCCAATACCATAAATCTCTTTATTAGACAACATACTATTACAGGAGATCTACTTAACTGTTTCTCTACTTAAAGGGCCCTTTGGTGTTACAACAACAAGCCGATTTTTTCACATTAGCAAGGATTAGACAGTATAAATAATGAATCGGCACCAAGATGGTGTACTTTTGTAACACCAGTAAACCTTTTTGCTAGTTGTTTAAAAGGATAATCAAAAATACAATAAAAGCCTGTGTTCTCCTGCACATATACACATTTTTAACATTACGGCATTGTAATAAACCTTCAGAAGAATCAACTCTCAAACCAATTTTCTGGGTGGATTTATGGCAAGTGAGTGTGTTTCTGAGTGCTGCTTCAGTTTTATGGAATGTGCAACTATGCATAATGCTCTATTTCATATTAAAATCACAGCAGATAGCATGCAGACTTCCCAAACTACCTTAAATGAAAATAGAGTGCCATTATTTTTCAGAGCTAAACAGTGCTTATTTCAGTGCCATCTCCATTACCTTCTTTGTACAGCAAGCAATATATTAAGTCACATTTATTTCCCTAACATTTCTCATTTCATGAAGAGCTTCATCATCCGAAAATGCATAATTCAAATTCTAAAACATGCAGGAACATCCTTCAAATTCCTGATACTAAACCTTAAAAGATGACATTAGCAAATGCAAGGCGTCCATGTCTTAGGTGATATTTATTTATTAATAAGCTCATAATTTGATATTATTATACCACCATGGCCTTTTTAAACTGTAAGCAGGGCTGTAGTTTTTTTCACCCCTAAATGTTTTAATGCTGAAGGTTTAGCTGTTGAATGCATTACACTAATTTGTTGGCTATAGTACTAGTGATTTTTTTTGTAAAATAAAAACTAAGACTTGACCTCGCAACTGTGATGTAACCAAGAATATAGATAGATGATAGATAGATAGATAGATAGATAGATAGATAGACAGACAGATAGATAGATGTGAGAAAATATCCCATTGTCACAGCTTTCCACTCAGCATACCAAACACTATAGTTAAATTAAGGAAGCCCTGAAGCTTGTGAACTTATTTTATTTATTTTTAAAGAAGGCAACAAATTATTTTCTGAATATTTCCTGATGTTTCGGTTGCCAATGATTCTTTACATCCACCCACCCCCCAATACAGTTGCACAAGTATTACTAACATGGGAGTTTGCTTTTTTTAAAAAAAAAACAAAAACACCCTAATTTTAAAGCAAAGAGTATTTTCATCTGAAAAGGGAATGTCATTTTAACATCCACTTACACTTTTTGCATATTAAATTTACAAGGGTTTGCCAACTGCTATCAGCGATGTAGGCGCTTCTCAAAGCATACCCTTGAACACACTTTACATGTAAAACACTTCTAATCTGAGCAAAAGCAACAGAGAATGCTGTAACAAGCAGACATTGTATTTATGCTGAAAAACAATTGCAGTCCTTTAAAAAAAAAGCCACGATTATTCTGATTATCTCATATGCAAGCTCCCTCTGCAGGTAATAGGAAGAGTTAGCAAAAAGTATGCAGAAAATGCAAAAATTTAGCACTGGAAGACAAACAAATGGACACTCTTTGAAAGGAATTCCCAGACAGCTAAGAGTTACCTCATATCAGTCACTCCTGAAGAAGGCACCCTGGCCATTTTCCCCCCTGCTGGCTCTATCTAATTCCCCTTGTCCTTCAAAACAGTTAAGCAAGCAGCTTTAGCTCACTGCATACCAAGATGTAAAAGCTGCTGCTGCTGTTTCCCCCCCTCAACATCACATTAAGACTTTTATGGGAAAGGGAAAACCAACACTGAACCATCCTGAAGTGGAGGGACCACCCAAAACAAGTCATCACTTCCAGGCTAAATCATCTCCTTAACCAAAATAAACAAACACAGCACTGTGGCTCTGTTTAACGTCCCTCTGCCACATAAGCCAAAACCTATTCCTATTAGGATTAACTTGCTACCTCAAAGTTTAGTATCAATTACACTGAATACAAACATGGGTATTTTAAGAAAAATAAGCACATAATATTAAATAACAGGGGGGAAACATTTACTAGTTGCCATATCCTTGTTTTCATCCATCCTAAGAAAACCATTCTACTATCACAGAAAACACTTTTGGCCAAGCGTGGATATGTAGAGCTATAATAAATGAACACACCCAATGTTTGATATAAACTCAGTAAAATTCAGGCTTTGGGTGGCTTCTGACTCGGGCTACAATCCTAACCATGTCTACTTGGCAGTAAGTCCCATTAAATCACTCTAAGGTTAAGTGAGGTGCGCAGACCCACCAAAATTAGTGGACAAGTTTTAGTCATTGCTGTCTTAAATCCACTGGCGTCAACAGATCCACTCTGTATATGACTTTGTCAGATACCATCCATACTGTGCCAGAGGTGCTAGCCAAAGTCAACCTACAGTTGGGCTACAAACCGAACCAATCCCAAACCCTTGCAGAAGGGCTGTAAATCAGCAGACGAGTATCTGGTTTTAATAAAGAAGGTCCCAAGGTTCAATCCCTAGTATTATATCCAGACAAGGTTGAGAGAAACCACAGTCCAAGACCCTAGAGAGCCACTGGGAGTCAGTGGAGACAATGCTGAGGTAGATGAACCAATGGTCTGAACTGGTATAGAAGAAGCTCCTTAGGTTGCTACGTAACATCAGCATTTGTGAAGCTGGAGTGGCACCAGTTTTCTACTTTTTACCTTAACCATTTGTTAGGTCACTCCTACAAACAAGAAAGGCTTTGTGGTCTAATATAAAATGAACCCAAGGTTGATTTCGATGTCCAAGCTCAATTTCTCTGGGTTGTCATAAAATTCCTCTATAAACCAGGCAAGTCCCTTTCAGAAATTCAATTACTAATATAGAAAACCTATAAATTTTGCCCTCCGGGGTAGGGATGAATTCACGAACTACAAGGTTAGGGGCGAAAATCCAACACAGATGATGAAAATACGGCCTTTGCCACCCGGGGAGGAAATGAAGTGCAGCATGCAGACCAAAATGCTGTTTCTAATAAATGACGATAGCACTGGTAAAAATGATAACCAACGTACATTTTTTAAAAATTGATGAGAAATAACTGAAAGGAATATTTAAAGGCAAAATTGTTAAAGCAGACCAGGAAAGGATCGAGAAATCACGATGCTTTTCTGAATGAGCTTTCAAAAGCATGTAACACAAGCATATAGGCAACTCTTCTCTGTTACAGGAAAGCCTCTAGTGGCCAAATCCATAGCCTGTCATCAGCAGGTCCTGTTTAGCAATCTTCAAACGATGTGGCCTTGAAGGCTTCAGGCACAGTGAGTGCTGAGAGAAGGAACACAACATCCAATCTACACAAGTAAATACATTTAATAAAATTTCTTTAGAGAGAGAGAAATCAGACTATTTCACTGTTTCTTTGCAAATCTAAGCAAAAAACAGAAAGGGCGAGTCCCTCTGTAATAACTCTGATTTCCTCCCCTCTCCTTTCCTGTTGTCTATCAACAAGAGTTTACTTCCAACCTTTCTTTTCTGAAGCTAAGCAAGCTCATATTCAGTAAGTACACATGACAAAACTAGAACCCAGTTATTCCATCCACGTATGCTAATATAGCTACACTGATTTCAAAAGACAACGGTCTAGTCCAAATATGCACCTGCACTCAGCACAAAGCGAATCAGGTCTTGTCAGTCAGCAAGGAATATTTCATCAGCAGCTAAACGCAAGCAGCTAAACGCAATCACAATTATAGCTGAGCCCTCCAGACTACACATACTGGAACAGAAATACCTCTTGCAAGGAGTGGGGGGGGGTTGTTTGGGGACCCATTTTATTTACCCAGATCAAAGAGAGTCTGGGTCGTTAACTTGCAGTGTGGCTGCAAGGTCCTTTCATGCTCTCCTGGCCAAAGAAAGCAGGGAAGGAATTTTGCATTAAGCTATGACACGGCAAAAACAATGGCTGACTCACGTCAACAATCATGTTCCATCATGAAATCTGGCTCATGAGCTTGCCAAAGAAGATGCCACCCAGCAATATTTTAAATGGAAAGAGGCAAGAGCTGAACAAGTTTGGCAGAGTTGCCTTCTCTGTCTTAATCTCTCACACATGTACAAGTTCTTATGGTATGCACTGTCCATGGGTGGAAGGAGATGACAGAAATTGTTGGCATGCCAGTGGGAAATGTAATGATTTTAGGTGCTGGCTGTTTCTTCTTTTGTGCTACATGCTCAGGTGATTAATTTGGAAAAGCAAAACAAAGGGACTTCTGGGACCTGGGGCTTCCTGAAAGACACCCTATGTCTGGTAGTCCTATGGCCTATTGCCCGAAGTGTGGGGTGAGCTATGATTATTTAGAGGGGGGAAACTATGAACACTGCTCCTCTTCAAAAGCACTAGGGCCTAGGGCCGTGTCCTAGAGGTCTTAGTTGCTGGACTTAGCCCAGAGGGAGGCCTGTTTCCAATTAAACCTTGCTCCCATCAAGCCAAAGTTTCATCTCAGTTTCAACTCTCCATATACCTTATCAGCAACTACGTAGAAATCTCAGAATTCTTTTTTTTTAAAAAAAACAGTCATCCATTTCCCCAGCAGCAAAGAACAATTTTGGCAGTAATGGAAGTGAAAGTATTCCGCCGTCTAGAAGCAGAGCAATAATCATTCCGAGGTGTTGACTCATATGAAAAAATATCTACAGCAGACGCAACACACGGTTAAAAGAAAGAATAAAAGCACCTAT